GAGCAGACGGGACCCCGAATTCTCCACTACCTATGGTCGTATGTGATATAATTGGAGGCTGATTTACTTTATATCCTCTAAGTTAGACGTTTCCTCAGCCAGTTTATCTGCATTGTGATAGATTATAGGTAGTAGGATAAAGAATGTTTCGCCGCCAACAGCGAGATCGAACGGGAGAGGGATAGCAACACAGTCAACCATGAATGCTGCTGAGATGGGTCCAGGACCGAACGCCTCGTATACTGCACAAACACGGCTTCAAAGACTTCAGCGGGCAGCTCATTAAAGACACTGCCGCTATCTGCAATTGCTGGGGAACGCATCGTGTTGGTCGACCGCTGGAATGAATCATTGCGGTGTCCTCACACGATTGCATCGATACTAAATGTCCACTCGGTGAACTCTGACTTGCCATTTGGAAATGCTCGGTAGGATGGCTCTGTTAACCTCAAGTAAGACTTAAACAATTGTATTCTACCACTCATCCATAGATCATCATACCAACACTTGTAATTAGTTGTACCGTTACTTCGCCATGGTCATAGAAAAGTCTGCCAACATTGAAGGGTATACGCCAAGTTAGTCTAAGATAGATCTCCAAGTGTTTCACATCTCAACTACATTTAATCTCCCTATAACATACAATTACTCATGACTTAAGCACACATGACTATAGGTAGTGGAGGATTTGGCGTCCCGTTAAGCTCTTTTCTTGAGCTCAACATTTTCCAGATTTTTGCATTCCACGACTCCAGATTTGGAGTCACATAATTCCATTTTTGGTGGTTAAGCAACCCCTACGCTAAGATGCTTGCCACCTTTTAATCCTCTACCAACGACGAAAACGAAACCAACACTGCCACCGTTCTAATATCCTTTCAGTTCATGTGTCTATGTCGGGTCATCTATTTCCTGATTGCTTTGAATCTTGTCATCACAGCAAGCCATATATAGCATGAAGTAGTAATGATTGCTCAGCAGACCGGCCTTCACTTATACTGACATCAAGACACTCAACCAAACGCTATTCCCGCTGACTGGCCAAAACGTCAGCACGCTCAGCGATGGTTCAACACACCTACGCGACATTGAAGCCGAGCCTGCATGCTCATATTTCCCTGCGCGTATCAGGGCACGCGCCCGTACGAGGCTCGGACTGCCAACAGGTGGGTGCGGAACGAGGTATCACAAGGCTACACGGCTGTGGCGGAGCACTTTCATTGGCTTAGCCGTGTTGTTTTCGTGCCATGCCGCGAGTTCAAAGTCGCGAGGCCCTGCTGCTTTCCCTAAAAGAGGTCATATCCAACTGAGATCAACTCTGTTTCATCCATGACTTGGTAGCAAAAACTGGCTGTCTCCCTTGTTCTTTACAGCCATACAAACAATGCATATGCACTCTTCTCTCCGCGAACCGTTCTGGGGCGAGGCCACGTCTTATCTAAAGTATGTTTTAGAACTTTCTGCCCATGACTTGAGGTCGTTATAGCTCAAATCACTTAGCTTTTGTGAAGAGGCAGTCCTCTCCATGCCCTCTCTCGCCCAGGCGGCTGGATGGCCGAACTCGTTAATGAACCGTCGCGATATATTAGGATTATGTCATTACACGATATGTCGCCGAGTTTATCAATACGTTAGTAGCTTAGCTTTCTGTCCGTGATATAACATACCTACCCGGCCCATGCTGTCTTGCATCTCGATATTCACTAATCTAGTTGCATTTTAATACTTGCAGTCGTCTATGGATTATATGGTCTGTCCAGACCCTCCCTTAATGGCCAGACCCGCGCTCGTCTGCTTTCTTACAGTGGATTGGTTGGCGTGGGCATTTGTTCTGCCAGCTATCATATGACCTTGAAATATCACACCCAAATGTGTACGTGCTATCATCTATCCTTACCCACTTTGTGCTCAATCTCACCTCAACTCTAGCAGATTGATTGTCCATGCATTTTCTTGACCACGCCAATGGTGTATCGTCTCTTGACGTTCAAGGGTAGCCCGCAGCGTACCAAGCTTGTGGCCGTACTTCTTACCATCTTATTTACAGTGGTTATGGTCACTCATATGGTCATGGACGAGTTCCTGCTTCATGCAACGACTTTTGGTCTTGCCGTCTATCTAATTGCAACTCGAACGCTGAAACGTATTTCTCAACAAGTGCCGGATGATCGCATTAGGAAGAACTTTCGAAATATCGCCCTATTTGGCTGCTGTATGTTGTCCTAATTTCGTGAGTCGGGGGTTTGAACTTACGGTAGCATAGTTAATTTCGCCTTTGGGTACTTTGTGTGGCTATTGGATGACTGGATATGCTCACTACTGACTTCGATGAAGCACTCAGCTGGCCTTCCCCTAGCTTTTTTCCTCGAGCTACATGGATGGTAAGCTTGCTTTGTAGTTGCATGGTTACCCTTCAGTGAAGCCATGTCTAACGATGATTGATCAGGTGGCACATTTTTATTTGTATCGGGGGCTACTTTGGCGTGGCTCTCGTCGACGCAATAACATCCGGCGTAGTCCGTGAGGACCCGATTCATCGTCTTGCCTGGCCCGTCCCCTCGGCGAGATTATTGTCAAGTGCAAATGCGTCACCAAAGCAGGAATAAGTTTGCCCATCAGAAAGTAAATTCACTACAACATTCATTGAGAAGACATGATAGATGTTGGCATTGAGGTTGGTATAAATAACACCATTAATTATAGTGATAATAAGCTTTTCTTAAAGCTTCTTCTTCTGTTTTATGTTAATAATAACTGCAGTTAGCTTTTTATTTACTGTAGTAGACATGTGTACAGAGGGAGGAAGCGACAAGATTAACTTTGGCATCGCCTTTTATTTGCCAATTGAATTGAAGCTGTAAGACAATTATTTATTTTTATTTCACTTCTTTCTCCTCTCTTTTCCTCGACAGCTGTGTAAACTTTCATTTCTCAAGGTGTACCAGAAATTCTTTTGCTCAAGCAACTAACTTATAGCATTTGAACTATTGTTAACATTGTCCAAAACATTGAAAGCAGTGCAAATAAACTTTAAATCACACCACCAGCAGGAGTTAAGCTCATCTCAGTCATTATAAATAGTACATAGTTTATAGTGTTATAAAAATTATTTACATGCTATCTAGTATACACAATTATAGCTCCCCCTATAAATAAGCTACGAACCGGCAGATTAGTATCTACTTGAGTAGGTGACTACTAGCGAACGACAGCTATTGTATATATATAACTAAGTAGATATTTGCTTTCAGGTTGTAAAAAGTCGAGATGACTGTGATATAGCTGCTTCTAGCAACTGAAACCATCACATACGACCATAGGTAGTGGAGAATTCGGGGTCCCGTCTGCTCCCCCATAGACAAGCCACTAACCGGCAGATTAGTAGTCAGGTGGGTGACCACTGGCGAACACCGGCTGTTGTATGTTTCTCTTTTTATATCTTTTTGCTCTTGGCCTAGGTAGTTATTGTGACATTGTTCTCTTCTTGTACTATGTACTCTCATGACTCTGTTTTTCGGTTTCTGGAGTTTAGACAAACAACTGATGCCAACATCCCACTCTCCGCTTTGGTTCTGGTTTGAATTGTTCAACAAGCCTACATTATCAGGGCAGCAAATTGCTATGAGCATCTATCATTCTCCGTTGTCGTAGCCCTCAGCCTCTTCAAGCTAAGAGTGTTCGTCAGGAAGCGTGATTGCCCTGTCCAGCGCGTATGGCAAATCGTGGTAGCGTCCGCAAATCATCACGGCAGCAGATGACGAGCTTACTGAACGTGTCGAACATGCCGCTGGGCGATGTCGCGACGGTTGGGTAACCTGAACTGAGACCGACGTTACCACCAAGAAGTTGCGTAAGTTCATTTTCAATAAGCTCGGAAATCTGGAGACATAATACTTACTACGCAGATGTTACTTCAAAGAATACTGTGCAAACGGTGAGTGACTATTAAAAGTTAGCTTAATACTCAAATACGAGAATATGGAAAAGTTGAGAGCCCAACTAGAATGGAGTCGTTGACAATTCTGTCACCCTCATCCACTGCATTGTCGTAGTAATCAGCCCTCTACATCAGCGTCTTTGAAACCGGGAGGCGCCCGCTGTCGTAGCACATTTAATAGTCGTAGCGCTTATCTAGAGAGTCAATAATAGGGCAGCCAGATGGGTAATAAGGCGCAGCATATCAACTCTACTGAGAAGTTTGTAGAACCAAAGAAAGCAAACAAGCACAACGACAGCATTAATAAAGTCCAGGTTAATGAAGATAAAGATGAAGTATAGAGGATAACGAGTGATAGATTCCCAAGAGGATAATGTACACATCTATGCGGCAACGATGTCAGTTCATTGCTTCGCACCTTCGCGGCCACTATTGCAACCTGGTGGCCCATATTGAACTTACAGTGTAGCGTCACAAACTTGACATGAGGCCGCCACCACTAGGGCAGTAACAACAGCGATCCTCAGCCAAGTCGTATCTAGATTAGGAGGTGATTGGGTTTAGCTTTGTCGCAAAGTTCTAATCAGGAGAGGTTTTAAAGAGGAATAACCACAGACCAGACTAAATGGTAGCCCTGAAACAGGTAGCACAAGATGTATCAGCTTGTACCCCCTCTAAATTCCTCTTTTAATATGCCAAATTGGTATTTACGGTCGCGGTCTACATGCAGCCATAGCATAGTGCGTCGCCGAGTCCCCCACGAACTGATTTTTATATCGTGGGGTACATTTCCCCGGGCATGATTCTACGTCCCTGTCTATTTCTGACAGGATGATCCGTTATGAATGATTGACAAGGTATCTTTCCAAACATGTTTTTTGATCTTCTCATGTTCTGTACTAAACATGTGTGCTCGGTGACTAACCCTTCTATCCCCTGTCCACAGGGAAGATCTTGGCATTTCCGGACATGTTTTCTCCACGCTCCTGTCTGCTTGTGTATTCACGTCTAACTCCTCCAAGAGAAAATGGCATATATGGATACATCGAAAAAGCATCTGGTATCTAATACTCTCGTATCCTGTCTCCTTCTCTTCATCACATCCTCCTTCCTTAACCTCTTCCCCCACGCACCTCTCTCCGTGTCCACATCCCCACTCTCTGCCCAGCTTCACCCAACTAGCAGCCTCTGGGATTCTAGCAAGTAGAATCTCACCCTCATACAAAGACTGAGCCTCACAGTCTTCCTCGATACCACGGGGCTTCCCGCCCCTTTGTAGTCATTGACGGGGCTGCTTCTGCTGACGGGATGCTTCCACATCATTGCGCAAGCTGCCGTCGCTAACAGACGATAGGTCCAAGTACGCACCAAAAATGCGCTGCTCGATGTCCATATCCTTCCAGCTGACGCCGTGCTGTTTGCGCGCCTGTCGGCGGTAGAAGAGACGTTTGCACCACTTCCACGTCTCAACCCCCGCAAAGAACAGCCCGGCAGCGACGAACACAATGCCCCATTCCCAACTAATGCCTTTGTGTTTGAAGACCTTGGTATTGATGACCGGGATATAGAGCACGGGAAAGAGTGTCACAAAACCGAGCATAACAGCCCAGAAAAGGAACTGGTTGCGCCAGACATCGTGGGCCCACTGCGTAAAGTACTTCTTAGAGTCGGGCTGCATGCGGAACAAGGATCGTCGTTGATCAACCATCTCCCAAGCCAGGAAGAGGGCAAACCACGTTAGACAAGCAAATGTGGTTGCACGCGCGCGGAAAACCGTCTCGCAGCTATCATTGTAGCCTTCGTTACAGCCATGACCAAGCTCACCATTGCCCCAAGCATAGACACGGAGCACGAATGAACTGAGGCAGAGCGCCGCAATCCAGAGACCGTAAACAACCATGTCAATGAAGAATTCGAGCGTGAAGATGCCGGTCCGTAGCGATTGGGGTGGCCGGCGAAGAATGTCCGGCACCGCGCGCTCGAAGCCCAGACCCATGTCGGGCATACCCGAAGTCGCCATGATGATCCACACGATTTCCACGGGAGTCAAGGGGAAGACTGAGAGGCCCGAACTATCCTTGAAGGCTAGGCCGACAAGGAGGGTGGTGGCTTGGGCGATATTCTCGGCCAAAACGTGGAGGACGAACTTCTGGATGTTGTCAAAGATGCGGCGCCCTTCTTCAATCGCCGCAACGATAGAGGCAAAGTTGTCATCGGCAAGAACAATGTCGGAAGCATCCTTGGCAACGTCAGAGCCAGACTGACCCATGGCAATGCCAACATCAGCACGGCGAAGCGAAGGAGAGTCATTGACGCCATCACCAGTCTATCGAGTGTCAGGTCATTCGCAGAACGAAACTCAACGCAGGAACTTACCATGGCACAGAACTTCTTGCAGCGATGAAGGGCCTCGACCATCCGGACCTTTGTGTTTGGCGTGCATCGAGCTATAACCAGCGGCAGGACGGGCAGTTGGTCGACTTGGTTGTCCGAGAGAGCATCAAATTGGGCAGCCGTCATGACCATGGCTCTTGCGACATCTGGGGAGACCATATCCATACGTGAGGGCAGGATGCCAACATCAATAGCAATGGCCTTGGCAGTTTCAGGGTGATCACCAGTCAACATGTGAACTGTTATGCCGGCCTTGTGGCATTCTTGCACGGCAGGGCCGGACTCAGGACGGGGAGGGTCGTAGAGGCCGATCAGGCCCCGGAAAACAAGGTCACACTCAACAGAAGCACGGTCAATCTCGTCTCCCTTCTTCAGGTTGACATGGCAGGGTTTGGATGCTAGAGCCAGGACGCGAAGCCCCATGCCAGCGAAAGCCTGCATGTTTCGAAGAATCTCCTGCTGGAACTCCTCACTCAGAGGAACCATGTCATCCGAATCATTGGTGCAGTAGGTGGTGCACGCGTCAATAACACGCTCCACCGCGCCCTTGGTGAAGGCGAATAGCTTACCGGAGCGGTTGTCCTTCATCAGAGTAGACATACGCTTGACATCGGAGTCGAAAGGCAACTCAGCAACCTCGCTGTACTGGCTGTGCTCATCATGACCAACCAAGCGTAGGCGATTCCAGTCAAATCGAGAAGCAAACACCTGGATGGCAATCTCAGTGGGGTCACCTCGGCCGTGCCATTCACCATCCTTCTGGACGACAGTTGCGAGGTTAGCAAGAGATGCAACGCGCAGGAAGGCGGCAAGGGCGGTATTGCTTTGGGAGAGGAGCTCTTCGGCAGAAGCGACGGTGCCGCAGGCGTCGCCACCTTGCTTGAGGTTGATCTCGTGGGGCTGGCGTGGGTCGTAACGGATATCACCAGCGGTTGGGTCAAATGGCGATGACGAGTTCCCAATGGTGTAGGTTCCCTTGCCAGGCAACCATGCACCTCGAGCAACCATCTTACCCTGGGTTAGGGTGCCGGTCTTGTCAGAGCAAATGTCGGTAACAGCGCCCAAGGCCTCCAGAGACTTCAGGTTTCGAACAATGACATTCCGCTGAACCATTCGCTTCGTACCCGCAGCCATAGTGATGGTTAAGACAACAACCAAGCTCGCTGGAATCATGGACAAGCCTGTGGCGACGGCATAGATGATAACCTCCTGCCGGGAGTCGAATCTGTTGGCGGCGAGCACGATGATGGCACAGATGACGGCGATGCCAAACAGGATGATTGCGAGCTTAGAAAGCTTCTTCTGAAGCGGTGTACCAACATTGACACCAAGGAAACGTCCAATGGCGTCGGTCAAGGTCAGCGTATAGGCCTCAATATATCTGTGAGGCTTGGCGGAACCATCAGCCTTGCGCTTAACGGGACGGATCTTGCTGTCCTGCTTCTGAAGGGCAGAGGCGATGGCACCAATCTCTGTGGAGGCACCAGTTGCGAAGACCACTCCTTTGGCACGACCCTTTGTGACGGTGGAGGAGCTATAGGCGACATTGAGACGGTCACCAGGGCCAGTGGCATCATCAAAGATGGCATCCTCGTTCTTACGAACCGGCAGGGACTCGCCTGTCAGGAGGGCTTCGTCGGTCTCAAAGTTGACTGCTTCGATCAGTCTATAGGAGTTAGCAACCAACGCAGCCGGCTATGGGGTTATGACCAACTCACCGGACGTCAGCAGGAATTGTATCGCCGGTCTTCAATTCGACTAGATCGCCAGGAACAATCTGGTCGGAGGGCACAATCTTGGAATTACCATCCCGGACAACGCTTGCGGTTGGAGACGCGAGAGAGCGCAGAGAATCCATCGTCTTCTCGGCCGAGTATTCCTGGAAGAAACCTACGACGACGTTGAGTAGAATTACGAATGTGATTACGCCACCCTCGATATAGGACTTGATTCCATAGGAGACAGCCATGGCGAGAATCAGGACCTGCGAAGTGACACAGTGAGCCCAAGTAGCGGTTGTGGATGCGATCATTAGGAGAAACCCACCATGGTCATAGCATTGGCGATCTGTGCGATGATAATCTTGATGGGATGGGTGCCCTCAGCTTCACCGAGATCATTCTTGCCGTACTTCTCGAGACGCATGTTGGCCTCTGCCTCGGTCAGACCGTTAATGGTGTTTGCGCCGAGCTCGTCGACGACTTGTTTGAAGGTGAGCGCATGGACAGGCCTGCTCATTGGCTCATTGCTCTGGCCTGAGAGATAGACCTCAGCCAGTCGATCATTGGCCTTCGTAGACATGCCCATTGTCAATGGCAGGCGATGGTGATAGAAGCTCGAATTCGCAAATCTAAGGAGGAATCTGGATAAGTGCGACAAACCAGGAGGTTGGAGGAGGAAGTGAAATGATCAAAGGAATAGTCAATTGGCGATTGAGCTGGAGTATGGAGTCTTAAACACTAACCATATGTTGGATACAAGTTCTGAAAAATTCAGGTATCGGACAGAGTAAGGGTTGTTTGTGGATGGATGCAACGCAACGACAGACAACCATTCTCATTCGATGGGAGCCCTCTAGGTTTTCCCAAGTGGGTTGCGTAGAGCCAAGAACATCTTGGCGATAATCAAGTCGGAAAAGGGCGGACGCGAATTGAATGCTGTTATGAATGTCAGGGAAGTATAGCAATCTACCATGATGCATGATCAACTTGGTAGCATTCGGATAATGTATGGAATCTAAAAATACAATTCCTTCTAAACATGTATCCAGAACTCAGTTTCTATCGTATGGCGAGAATTGCAACGGCATCCAAAACGCCCAGATCAGGTATGTTCTGTAGCCTTCCAGCTCCACTGGGCAGGGTAGCCGTTGTGATTACCTTTTATCTAGACTTGGCGCCAGTGGGGTGAAGAGAATGACATTTGAGAGCTAGAAACATTATTCCAACATCAAGCAAGTGAGCCAGCCAAGCAAGCCAGCCAAGCGAATAACCCACTTGGGTAGTTTTACTAGGTTGCATGCCAAGGGAGAAAGTACTCGGAAATTGTCAATGGAGTTTAGCAAATTTTTTGTATCATAATAAATCATTATTCGTTATCAGTTATCAGAACAGGTAATTTAAATCTTATTAAAACAATAACTTCGTAAAAGTTATTGCTGAAATAACTTCAAAGCTTAAAATCCAATGCAACCTCATATATTATGTATCATGACGGCTCGGGATTATATTACACTATAGTTTCTCTTAGAGTGGATAATGCTGCAACTAGCACAAGGCCAGAACTGGGCTTCTCCCATCGTCTATTTTGTAACTGGCAACAGCGCAAACTGGCAGGGGTGTCAAGCCATAAATTAGTTACAAAGTGGATTCTTACTATAACCTTGTCTAATCAATTTGGCGCTATAAGCTCTGAGGCTTGGCCCAAGACATACTTGGTATTCTCCATTTAGGCGACAACTTGGAAGATTTTCGAGGTGAAACGAACAATCTACTAGAAAATCTAAAATTACCGTTTATAAATAGTCCCTAATGTGAATCTGACTCGGTTTCGTTTACCTTCATTCAATTCACAGCCTTTCCACCAGCAGCTATTCACTACCACTAAGTGGCACTCTGCTTCAGATAAGCATCCACGGCTCCTCCCACAAATGGCGAATCCATCTCGGGGCACGGTTTGGCCGCTACTTACAAAGATCAAATTAAAGACAAATTTATTCTAGTGACTGATGGTACGTCTCAAAATAGCCTTGGAGAAGAAGTCTGTCCAGCAATTGCCGAATTTGAGTCCAAGCCTTCTGATTCTCGCGGGCCGCAATGCTAAAAAGCTCGAATTCACGACAAATGCCATTGCAAAGGTCAACCCCCAGGCAGCTACCAAAACTCTTAATCTAAATCTTCAATGTCCATTAGCGGACAAGGAAGCAGCCAATATTGTTCATTCTCAGGATGGCGTGCCACACATTGACGTCTTCTGCCACAACGCAGCCATCATGGGTCCTGCATACGGAAATATAATGGACTGATTCGAGAGGCAGCTGGACCTTGCAGGTAAGCATTCGAGAGTTTCTATTTCAGGTTTAAGATGTGTGCTAACTCGGATCCTTAAGACCACACCGGAGCGTATCTTTCGGACTGCCAGGTTGCGAATCCTTATGTGCACCCCATTAGACCTTGGGCATGTAGTAAAGTCAAAGCTACGAAGCTGTGGAAGTAGACATAGCATTTTGCCAATGCGAAATTCTCATTCTATATTATGTAGGGTCAATTGCATTACAAACTTAGAATTGAGCATATCTCCTCTTGTAATCAACGAATAAATGCAGATAAAAAAGGTATATTGTTCCGACTGATGGCGAATGTCTGCCGGCACGTAGCCCCTGGTCCGCTTCTCAAAGTTTACGGAGAGAGCGGTTTAACTACCATATTAGATTCTATATAGCAGTTAAGACTAAGCAAAAGTTAAAAGCTAAAGCAATGAATAAGAAACGCAAAGTTCGTTGATGAGTACCACCTAATGAATGGCCTTGTAAATGTTGGCTGCTTAGCTCAGCGCCTATTTAGCCCAGCGATTGCCGAGCTGCCCCCCATGAAAGTCGCTTAAGCTTAAATTATAACATAAGGCTAAATATAAGAAAATCTCCAGAAGTTACATGTATTCTAACCCCTTCGTATTTGGGTATTTCCCTGCGTCTTATCCGAGCGCTGCGAATCCCAAGGCTTGCTGGTGAAAATGTAAAAGTTAGGGACTTGCACCTTTATGATCCAGTGTGATTGCTATTACTCTAGATGTAGCAGCGCCTGGAGGATGCCACTATCTAAAGCCCACCATTAAAGTTCTTCGCTGCGTAAGTCAAACGATTCAAATTGAATAAAAACCAGTTCTTAAAAGCCCGTACTCTACATATCAACCACGAATATTGCAACTTTAATGACAGCTCAGAATAGTGGAAACAGGTTTTCGTCAATTTGGCGCGTCCATTGAAGATATCCTCCGCTAGTAATGGAACCAATATTGCTCCTAATATTACTCAATGTCACAGACAGATTGAGGCTATAAAACATTATTAGCCAAAGCTTTAAGCATGCTATTAGCCGCAGTTGTACTAAATTGGCTATATAGAGACATTGCTTCGACGTGTTATACAAGGTGGCATTGCCTCCGCATGTGATATAAGGTGTCACACTCAAAATCCCCGTAAAAACCCGCAAAAACCCGTCACCGGTTAAATCTTTGTTTCCATGATTGCATGAAACATATGCAGCCCAGGGGTTTATTCCATCAATCGCAGATTTTAAACTTCCTACCAGGAACTTCTATAAATATATAAGACGCTGGCAATTCCACCCATTAGACAGGTAGTCTGCTATCAATCAACTTCAATTCGTGATATAAGACATAGCAAAATGAAATCTTCAGCAAAGTTGACTCTTACAGTCCTCGGCTGCCTTGCTAGTGGTGTCCTTGGTCACGGGCAAGTCCAAAATTTCACCATCAACGGCGCGTACAACCAAGGCTTTATCCGTATGCCTCCTTTCTTCTTTCAGCTCCCACTAAGCTAAGCAGTAACTGACATATGCGCTCCGAGTAGTTGATTACTACTATGACAAGGTCAACACTGGCAAGTTCCCCAATGTCGCAGGCTGGTACGCTACAAGCCCAAGATTCTTGCTTTTATTCCCATTATAAACATTAGATTGCATTGCTTATACGGATGATATAGGTACGCTGAGGACCTAGATCTAGGCTTCATTGCCCCTGACGCATATACCACGCCTGACATAATCTGCCACAAGAACGCGGCACCTGGTGCAATCACTGCCACTATACCAGCTGGCGGCACCATAGTCTTTCAATGGGGCCCTGGCCCGTGGCCACACCAATACGGGCCTATTATTACGTACTTGGCTCAGTGCAGCGGGTCGTGCACAACTGTGGACAAGACAACGCTACGCTGGGTCAAAATTCAGGAGCAGGGTATCAATCTAACTACCCAAGTCTGGGCGAATCAGGTCCTTATCAACCAAGGCAGCAAGTGGAGCGTAACAATCCCATCAAGCCTCAAAGCCGGGAACTATGTCATCCGGCATGAAATTCTTGCGTATGTTGCTCCTTCTCGTCTATCCTCGATCATTAAACTAACATTCTCAGCGCCCATGGTGCCGAGAATGCAGATGGCATGCAGAACTATCCGCAGTGTATTAATCTGGCCGTCACTGGGTCGGGCACTAAGACGCTTCCTGCAGGAACTGCAGCAACTGCACTCTATAAGCCCACTGATCCCGGCATCTTGTTCAACCCTTATACAACAATCACCAACTACACAATCCCCGGCCCAGCCCTGTGGCAAGGCTAGACTTAGGGAATGCAGTTTAATATCTGTACTGAATTCTCATGTGGATAGAGAGGGAGGCACTTCGCTACAGAAACATAAGCCGTGAAACTGAGTGTTTATATCTTGAAGGATTCAACTGTGTAAAAAAGAACTCGGGCAATCCTGTATAGCTATTTTCCAGTAACATATTGTCTCTAAGCTACAAAAGGTGATGCCTCTTGAAAGAGATTCCGGCTACTATACTTCCCTAGGCGTGGTAAGTACACATCGATAGCACGTGGCCAAAAAGTAGGACGGAATGGATGAAACAGAACCTCACTGAATCTTCAAAAGAACTGGATGATTAGATCTGAAACTGTATAGAGCAGTGCGCGCAGCCAGTGGCTTTGGTTGTTTTTGGCGGCTCTGCATCAGCCACGCTTAATCCGCGTCTATATCATTATACTATACTTAGGACAAGAGGGCGGGCGCTCATTCCAGCCTGGTCTATTTAGTTTCATATTCATGCAAGCAGGTACAAATAAACCAAGAATTAAGTAGGTACTACCTAGTAATGAGGACAGCCCCGCTTCTATTCCCCAGAATCATTTTGCGGAAGCTTCAATTGTTCTGCGTTGTGCGAAAGCCTATTTTCTCTATTGGTACAGAAACTACTAAGCCACTGTGTCATTAGCGACCCCTATAAGCTACATATAGCCAAACAAAGAATTTTTATTCTTCGTCTACGCGATATTTCAAGCTAACCAGCCGACCTAAACTGGACCAAAGCTGCAACGAACCGAAGAATGCGTGGGAGCAACGAGCTGCGCATGACGACATGTTACATCAATATTCCTATAATATCTTTCAATTAAGGGATGGGAATCAATCCGAGCGGGAAAACGAAATAAACACGCGTTATATAAGGCAAAAACATTCTAGTCACCCTGACGAATTGTGACTCTAGACCAGAGTTACAGTTCTAATCAAAGAACACGCTCGGAAGACGTGACAGCGCTTCTTTCTTCGGCCCTCCATATAGATGCTAGGGCCACTGTCAGCATACCACGATGCGTTCTGAAACAAGTAGTAGTACATCTTCCCCAGATCCTCAGCCGTCCACTCAACTTCTTACTGGTGCAAATCAAATCGTGAAATCATGGGGCATAAATGAGTCCGATTGTCAATTGGGGTATCGAGCGATCTCGACGCACTCCCACGAAATGTGTACAGGTAAGCACACAGCTTAACAGAGCGCTGATAAGAGCACGCTAAATGAGCCATAAGCTTCGCATACAGAATGGGAAATGAGTTCCGAATATGCCGCATTTGAGGGTTATGGGGATGAGGACATTGAAGCCGAAATGGAGTGTGATGGCACTGATAAGCGTGAAGATCACTGGTGGAACTGCTTGATTCCATCATTTTTAAAATGAGCAAGTTATATAGATATGTAGCATAGTACAATCGCTGTCTGTGCTCCCTGCTTCTGTCTTCAACACGCAGATTACGATTTCTAGCTCAACAGTCATAAGCAAGCTCTAGGGATGAATTGGATGATGCAGTTTTGTAATCGAATCTATGTATGCATCAGATTCTTTATCAGGTAACCCATACGCTTTTATTATCATTGACCCGTATTACAGTTGATGGGCCGTGCAGTAACTAGAATTATGCCTGTAAGGAGACAAATCGCACTGCTCATTCCAAATGAGTCTTATTGCTGGGCATGGTTGGGCATGCCTTTGTGGGGTAGAAATGCCCCGCAGAGGGAACTTGCTGTTGCGTAATGCTACAAGTCACGATATAGGAGGATTGGATGGATAATATCTTCCTGTTTACTCACAATGATGCGGGCGAGTCGCTTCATTCGGAGCAACACCGTGTAAACGATCCCCCTTCTTTATTTTGTGTGCGATTGAATAGCGCTGGTACCCCAATATTTCTGGCGTGCGCAGAACTTGGAGTATGATATCGCGCGAGTGGATGACTGTATTGCGCAAGCTTGTTTGATAGTAGGACTACACCGCTATTACATGTACGCTGTTAGAAAGACATGGGCCATCGCAGATTGGTTATCGCCCCTCGCTCAATATCCGCGCTTCGAGGTGCGTTTACTATGCATCTTGAATCTCGATGAGGAATGTCCACAAGCAATTCCCATTTGCGAATGATCAATTGAACGCCGCGGCTAAGAATTTCAAACCATGCATGACCAGGCTATTTCATCATTATTGAAGGCGCGCGTGGAGAACGCGTACATGTATTGCGTGCTGATTGGCGTACGGATTACGCTCCGCGCACCAATCATACTGGACATGCAGCTAGGCATCTAGGCTACGGTGCGAAGCATCAAAGGCATACTAAATTTTCTAAAAGGATCATCGAGCCATTGAAGAAAATTAATGGGCCATGCCCTAATGGCCGTGCTTAACGCCGCTTATGGCATGCTATCCAGTAATAGCATAGCAAGGAATCATCTAATGGCTAATTCACACCTTCACCCAAGATGGTGCAATACCTATTGATATTGAAAGCGTGACCACAGCCTACTTGCCGATTTCGTGATATAATTCAGGCAGCAATTCCAGCAGAGAAAAACTCCCATCTCACTAGACAAGAGCCCATTTTTCTCTATTCATCTTCACCACGAAGACAAAGTTCCGGGATAGAGCCGGAGCAGCAGCTCAAGGGCATGTGCAATTATCAGATGCCTTCCGGCTTGGAGCTTACTGTCTGATTGGTGTGAAGGTGCATGCACCATGTGGCAGTTTCACGCGTATCTGGAGATGTCATTTTACCCACTCGTAAGTCGGTAGGCTCATATAGACTCGAGGATGACGGAGGAGGTGGACTGTACGCCGAGTTTGACGGTGGCGAAAGCCAATTGATGGAGGGCATGTGGTGATTCTTAGTCCGAATTTAGTGCTACTACAGAACTACAGAACGATGCTGTACCGTGTGAGGATCATTTCAAGGAAAATTCGGTGATCCCTTTTTTTCTTTTTTTGATGCTATATATCCTCGACGGCGTCAAATATATATATATATTTCCTGCTGTTGACTGTTGAAAGATCTTCATTATGACTCTCTCATAATTTAGTCGGCTAAGAATGGATAAAACACGACTTCCAACAATTGTCATCTACAAATATTAGAGCAATACAGTTAGCAGATAGAGGTCCTAGTGATTTATGTAGCTGTGCCAGGCACCGTCTCCCTCATTGGCCGTCACACAAACGGTAGCGCAATCTAACACTTAGTATACATCATGGATGATGGAATGATACATGCAAGCTTACGAGTGTTTCCCCAACAGAGAAAGCGGGTTTTAAAGGAAGCCTCTGTATTCCCGTCCTTCATAATTGCCGCTGCAGGTACTGTGTGGCACATTATGTCGGGTCTTCTTAATGAAGCAGGTTTCGCTGCTTAAAATAATAATAATAATAATAACACCATGAGCGAGACCCATCTGTAACTTGAGGACTTCTTTTCACAATATCATAGCCATCCAACCGAATTATCAAAAGATCATACATTCATTGCGAACCCGCAACAAAACGGACATCTAGTCCATTTCATACGTACAATAGCCGCTTTCGACTTCACTGAGATGCCCCATTGGCCAACAAATCTCATCATGCAGGGTGTCGGCATCAATTCATCGGCGATGCTCCCTGACCTGTCTTTAAACACGCTGAATCAGGCCGGAGGCGACGAAAGCAATAAATACCCTTTGCCAACATCATTCGAGCCATGGGATTACACACAGTTGACAGAGGGTGGTACAGCCATGGATCCAAGTCTGCTGAGCTCTCCCACATCTTCCAATTTAATAAGCGAACAGGACAATCAATTTCTGATGTTCCCGATGGACGAATCGCCAATCATATCTAACGCCTCATTTAACAATTCAAATACCCATACAAAACAACCGACTCAGTCTATAATCGGCAAAAAGCGAAGTACAGTCAGAAATCAGAAGCGCAAGAGAGGGCCGCAAAATTCCCGCCATTGGACGGAAAAGAAAGAACAGACTAAGCAGCGTAACCGGGTGGCCGCGTCCAAATGCCGACAGAAGAAGAGGGAAATGGTGGACGAGCTGAAGGAACAAAGTTCAAGTCTTGAAGCGCAAAACAATAATCTCCATGATGAATATGAGCGGCTTCGCAAGGAGATTGGCCAAGTGAAGTCCGATTTGATGCACCATACAGAGTGCAACGATGATAACATTAATCAGTGGATTTCGAACGAAGCCAAAACTTACGTGGATAAGCTTGTCGAGGATGGGGAGCGACGGCGGATGGGGAGCCTCAGCAGCTCAGATGCTATTGAAGATACCGAAAGTGCCCAAGCGGGTTTGCCCTTCGGGGTGCCAAGAACGCCGTCCAGGGACAATCACCTGGGGTTATGAATAGGCAGAGAGATGTTGGCCCATCTCCATGTCCTCGTTCCCAATTCGTATCTTCAATCATCCATTCCCGCGGCAGACGGAGACGTACGCAATTTCCTGCAATTTTGTACTGTCAAATAGCGGCAAAACAAATAAAGCTCAATATAATCATGTGCGAAAATATTTCCAATGGGCGAGATGCTTGCTTCCCTTTAAGCAGATATTCTCAAGTCCCCGAAAAAAATATCCTTGCCACCTTGAATCTTACCCCGCTCTGGTGTTGAGGCAAACACCATCTCATAGGCGAGGAACTCGGAAGCCGCTGCCGCCGCCCCTCATTGGTCAGTCGTCTTGACGGCATCAGCCTGGAAGACTAGTATAGAAAAATAAATAAATCAGGGTGTAGTCATTATGTTGCAACTGAGTCTGTAGTGGAAGGCGACATCGCGAAATAAGTGTCGCGCTTAGAGCTAGATGACATTTACAGTGGGCTCTTTTCTAGTGATGTGATGCTTAGCTCCAGCGTCAGCTTGTACGTCTGGGGCATAATGATGCGTCGCCGAATCACTTGTACAGCCAAGCTCAAGGTCATATCCAATAATAAATGAGAATTACTTATTTTTTCACCCAAGTTGACTGAGGAAATGTTGCATATGTAATTGATATGGACACGGTCAGGGCCGGAACATGTCTGCGATTGGTTGAGATTAGCGTCGATTCAAGGACCGAAGAGCTGGTTGAGATTCACAGTGCCTGATATATCAACAAAGCCAGCCAATTAATATAGGTCGCCGTTGAAAAGACACACATATGCGTAATAGTTTGAAGACGTTGGTACCGCTCCTATTCCAGGGCAACCTGGACGTGTAATTTGCGTAAACGCTGGTTGACAAGACAAAGAACGCGGAACTGAGTAGCAGGTAAACACTCTAATATTGAATGTGAGATTGCTCCTGGGCCACCCATAGAGCTACTATTGCCACGGATCTCAACCGATTCCAAGCCAACCTAGTAGCAGGAGTCAAATCTTAAAGCCTGTATAGCCAGTTATGAAGAACCAGAAAACTCGAAGTAAGGATCTAGGAGGGCTGACCAAGCACAAGTCTCCAGCATCGCATATATTTCTTGTAATGTGTGACCTAGAATGAGAGCATCTATACTAAAAGGAAAATAAAATAGCCTCTAGTGGTAGACTAAGCTCTGATAGTAATATATTATAACAAAACCGACTTTTTTATCGCTAAGTTGGTGGTTATTCTTTATTCTTGAGCTCGATCTTTTTTTATCGACACACTCAGCACGCCTCACACTATCTAGTGTCTAAAGGCATAGGTAAGCCATGTCTATCATATATTCATTGGACTTATCTAGCTCTATGAGGTCTATATAGGTGAGATCAAAGCCATGTGGTTAAACCAACGGCTTATATCGACATTAAAGCCCCTTTAACTCATCCATGTATTGTTAGACTACTCTACTATACAAACCAAACCAAAGATACAATACTAATCTTCCAACAGCAATCGAAGAATATTGCAACGGAAACGGTGTAGGACCCATAAATAAATAAAAAATCAGTATGTAGGTAAACGTACAAGTGGGCCAATGCCAAATACTTCTTTCATTTATCTTTTATACCTAGGCAAACTGCATTTGCTTTATTTTGGAATATACCTTCGCTACATACTATATCTGCAAAGCTGTTACGACCCAACAACCATAAGATACGTACCCACGGATAAACTACGGACCGATGGGCCAATCAGAAGGGGATCACTCGTAGAAGCGTGAGCCATCCCTGATGGATCACGAACACCAAAGTGAGCCACCCTAGAAGGATCACGATTGAAATCGTGAGCCTCGTGGAACGACTTACTATATAAGAACCGTTCATTACGCTCATTAGATAGAACTTAGATAGTCAGTCGTTAACATAGCACTCTCAGATAACAATCAGATTGGTTATTCATAACCTCGTTAGCTACGTGACTGCATCGCTCATAAGACTCCAACTCATCTCTCTGCCAACATAAACCCGACGTTGAGTTTATAGATTGGGAACCTACCCTATACCTAAGTACGATAGTATAGGTCAGGACGTCACACGTTAACGACTCTTGTTCAGAAGATCTCTTGGAATCTTGTGAGCAATCGAACCACCATGACTGGAAACGACACTGCAGCTCCTCAAATCGCTCCGGCACTTGCCGCGACCTCTGAACCCATCAGACTCATCGATGTGGATGGCGATCTCGCCATGAGCCATGAGCCTGACTGGAACAATCTGGAGGGAGATGCTTTGAAGGAATATCTTCAGGATATGTTCCAAGTCAACAAGCAATTAATTGACACTTTGAACAATAAGAAAAAAGAAATCAAGAAGGACATGGGAATCCTCATTAAGCGACAACCACCTCCCATGTTCAACGGGAAGATTAGCGAACTTAGACCCTTTCAAACTCAGCTCAGGGCCTACTTCATGGACTTTGAGAATACAATTAACACTGAGGACAAAAAAGTTTCCTTTGCGGCATCGCGCCTCGAGGGAACTGCACTCAAGTGGTTCCGACCTATGTGGGATGAATATCTCAAGGATCCGACTAATCCCCCGCCTGCCGTCAAGAAAGTATTTGATGACTTCAAAGAATTCGAAAGAGAACTTGTGAAAGCATTCGGAGACGTTGGAGAAGTCCGAATGGCTGAAAACAAACTTGCAGAAGTATCCCAGAAAGGAAAATGCTCTGATTACGCTGTAAAATTCAGAGACCTTGCCTCTCGAGTTGAATGGGGACAAGCTGCACTCATCAAACGATTCTACGATGGACTCAAGAAAAGCGTCAAGGAAAAAGTCTACGACATTGACCGAACTCAGCACGACCTCCTATCCTTTATCGAAAAATGCGTCGAAGCCGACAATCTCTTATACGAACTCAACATGAGCACTCGCAATGACCAAGGAAACAGAGGTAGGAACAATGAACAAATTGCTAAAGACAACAGTGGTACTCCAGGACCTATGGACATCGGCATGATTCAGAAAGACAACAAAAAGAAAGACTTTAAATGTTACAATTGTGGGAAGCCAAACCACATGGCAAGAAACTGCAGATCACCTAAAAAGTCTACTATTCCACCACCAAAAGATAATCACGCCATGGAAAAAGACAGCAAGACCATCTCGATGATGGAAAGAGACTTCACAGCTGAAGAAGAAAACGAATACCCTTACTACCAGTCGGAAGCTGAACTATCGGATGATTCCGACACACTAGCTGAAGAATTTGAAATACCTGACCGACAAACAATCCCTCAGGAAGACTTTCAATCAACTGGAAACACGGATGAAGTAGATACTGGGATAGACGAAGATTTTGAATGGCGAAACTATGGACGCAACTATAAGCGTGATGATGACATCTGGAGACGACATGACAACCCAACCCCAGAAGTTAACCGACTATTCAAATTTCAAAATTGCATCGTTGAAGCCCAAGAACCTTTTGAGAACAACACTCCTTCGTTTCTGTACGGATGGTTATCCGAACTCCAACAGCAAGAAGTAGAAGGACAACTCATCCTTCGAGCTGTTACGCTGGACCAAGCCCTACGACAAAACCTTGGTTACGAAAGAAGATTCGGGGATGTTGATCGTATTAATCCAGACCATCCAGGACACTATCGTGTTAGCTGGGTTGACTGTGTTACACACCGATGTATGGAACATTTTGACGACAAAAGGAAGCACGACACCTTTCCTATTAGGATCCCATTTCTTCCTGTCACCCATACACACTCTTGCATGCGCTTCTTATCATGGGACGTCAAGTGGAGGTTTAGATCTCTCAAGGTAGTCGTCCTAGGAGAAGGAGAATGCGCAAAACCGAATGAGTTTACAGGAGTCTGTGAAGAAGCCTTCTGCGAATATCATAAAGCTCGAAAACTCTTCACATGGCATGAAAGAGAAGACGCCCGAGAAGAATGCAATGAAACCGATTTTTTCGACTGCAAAAATCCAAAATGTGCACGACACGCGGAAATTAAGATTTTAAACTGGCATAATCCAAAAAACGTGGACGGTCTCCTGTAAGAGGGCAACAGGAAGACTCAAAACACATTATGTCTCTCGAACCAGACGACGAATACGACAGTGAGGAAGAAGAAAAAAGAACATTCAAAAAAATGTCGTACGATGTGTTTTTAGACGGGGAGCCTCTCACGGTCCTAATAGACAGTGGGTCGCAATGCAACTATATGTCTGCTACAACTGCAATACGCCTGCAGTTGCCAGCGTATGAGAAAAAGAGAAAGTATCAGTTACGACACGCAGAGGGAGCGCACTTCCTTTACGATGACGGATGGATTAAACGACGGACTGATCACCTGTCAATAAATATTGAAAATCGCATTACTAGAACTGTATGCGACATAGCCAATATCCCACGATACGACCTTGTTCTAGGGATACCCTGGTTAAGCAAACATAATCCCGATATAGACTGGGAAACCGGCCAGATTCGTTGGCGAAATAACGAAATCCCAGAAGAAAGGAAATCAGGTAGCCAGAAGCCTAAGATTTTCCTTAAGCCCACCACGACACCTCCTCAATACGTTGAGAAAAGAAGGAAGACATCAGAACAAAGAACGCGAAAACATGTTGCTATTTTGCGCCGAGAACTAATGCTACTGGACCAAGAACTCAAGAAAATTGAACAATCCGACGATCCACTAGCACGAGTTCCAAAACAATATAGGAAGTACAGAAAACTCTTTGAAGAACGATTAGAAGAAGGACTTCCACCACATTCAGAATGGGACCACGAGATAGTCCTAAAAGATGGAGCCTCTCCAAAGTTTCACAAAATTTATAATCTCAGCGAAATGGAACTTAAAACCCTCAAAGAATGGATCGAAGTACAACTCAAAAAGGGATACATCCGAATCTCCAAATCCCCAGTTGGATACCCCATTATCTTCNTACCAAAGAAAAATGGCAAACTACGGTTAGTCATTGATTATAGGGAGTTAAACAAAATAACCATCAAAGACAAAACCCCGCTACCCTTGATCTCACAAATCAAGAACAGACTGCATGGGAAAAAATGGTTTACAACTCTCGACCTCACAGGAGCTTACGAGCTCACTAGAATGAAGGAAGGACATGAATGGATGACCGCATTCGCAACAAGATATGGATTATACGAATATGTTGTCATGCCACAGGGACTCACAAATGCACCCGCATCCTTTCAGAA